TGTTTTTCTCGTTGCCATGTTCCCACCAATAACGTAGCTCCATTTTCTGCCTTTAAAAGCACACACAACCCACAATTCCTCTATTCGCTCCGACGAAGGGCTAACGCTCGAAACGTCAGCTTTTGTAATCGTTACGGTGGCCAATTTACCATTTCAACTTTGTTGATATATCCAAATTATTTCGTTACTCCCACCGACGCAGCCCCAAACAGTTTCTTTCGAAACTATCAGCCTTTATTCATAAGGTATTTATAATTTAGGACAGGACTCAGTAATTTTAAGGTCAAGAACACCCGAGCAACATAATTTCGTGCTGAAAGTGATTAATTGACAGATGATCTTACTCTGAGGGCAAACTTTCATCTCGGAAGTTGTAAATCTTATTTTAATCCACGCGCACAATATAGACCCAAATGTCAGATGGGTCGCTTGATGAGCCGTCACTTATATAAAAGGATCCCTTAAGGATCACGCAAGGTTGTCTCTGATCTCATAAGGCTTTTCTTCTCCCATTAACCTTCCGTAGTGCTTTGATTGCTATTTGGGGAAGTTCATAGATTTAAGAAAAAGTTCCCGATGAATATTCAGGAAAACTAAGTCATTGAACATCAAGACAAGACGACATTGAATGTAATTTAATCACGAAGCGAAAAGACGGGAGCAAGGGCTGGGAGGGTGGGGAGGATTTTTTTACAAAAAAAAAAAAAGAAATCGTGTAAACTTACAACATTGAAACAACCTACTATGCCATCAAATGCCACTGTAACACTTCAGAAGACTAATTGCATTTCAATTTTTAAAATTAAAGCATTAGGCGTTGCCGTTTAACTTTTGGAACAAAAGCTTGCACGATCCTTGCACTCGAACTGGAGAAGAGATTGAAATGGACCACTCGTGCCTAATGTCAAATTAAAACTGGAAAGGGAAAATTGTAGAGGCAGTGGACCCATTCTTTGTTGTTATCTGATGCTCATGTATTTTTTTTTTTTTAACTCGATAGTAAAAATTAAAAAGTCCTCGAGTTGGCTTATCAGATTGTCGTGCCAGGTATTGTTATCTGAGAAAGATCTCCTAAAGATTACATGGTAAATCTGTTTTGAGCCCTTTCAACCTCGTCAATTGTCCTTCGCTTCACATCTTAAACTTGTCACATTGTGTCAAAAGATATCTCCGGGCCTTTCTAGAATAGTTAATCAGCGAAATACAAAATCGTGTATCTAGAGGATTTTTGTTTACTCACAGGAATAGGCGCAATATATCCCCATTTTCAGTCTTGTCAAAACAATCACAATGATGCTTCACCCCCACCGCCCAAAAAGTTAGAAAATTACAGGAATTACCCTAATAGGTAGTTTGCAACCAATCTCTAGAGACACAGGTAACAATGGTGAGAGGAACAAAATGCTGATGGACGAACAAAAGAAGCTAATGAGATATCTATTGTTTACGTCCACCAACATGACGTAACGTGCAAACCACCTACTGTCAAAGCGATACTTATACTTGTACCCTGCTGATTTTACCATAGAAAGTGGAGGGGGACTGGGGTGGGTGAGAGTACTGGAAAGAGCAGAAATTAAGGGCACTAGTTTGTTTTTTTGTCACTGCTTATCATCAAGTAAACAACCAGTAACCAGAAAACTTTTACTCTTTTCGTCCACCAAGGCGTAAAACAAAATTTTTTATAAGCGAGGAAACTTAATTTTTTTCTCAGGCTCAGAAAAAAAAAAACATAATACCGGTGAAATTGGATACGTGTCGAAGTCGAGTCGGTTCCATGAAAGACTTAGTTTCAGCAAATGCCTTTTGTTAAGGTCAGACAATCACACAGCTGCATAATACCGGTGTAGTGATAAATGTATATACAACTTTCCGCAGCTAGCCAAGGGTTAATAGCACCGAACATTACCGATAACACGGGAGATTGGGAAAATAAAGAAATTGCACTCAATAATGCATTTTCCGTCGTATTTATTCACTGAAAATGCTCTGTTCTATTCAACCATATATTAACGCCTACATTTGTAGCGACCGAACAGTGGGCTTTATATGTCAATGGCTCATACATCTACATTTTAAAGTTTTTCGCGGATTGTCAACATAACCTTGACCAGACAAAGGAGGTCAAAAGCCTGGTGAACTTCCTCGTTAAAATTGAATATTAACTCCAACCAAAACCTTTCAGAAAAGAATGACCACTTAGTTCAATCCTCCGTAGGTGAAGTTTTTGTCTCACCTATAAAGCCTGCCCAACAACCGTTTTTATAAGCCGGCTAAACATGTTTTGAATAAGTTTTTGCCTTTCTCCATAATAAGAGTACATTATCAATATTGCAAAGGATACAATTTGTCCATCAGCATAAATAAGGGGGTGAACTAGAGCAACTTGGGTTTAACCAGGCGGTATCGGAATGAAAATGTTTATTGCGGCGGAATAGCGGGATAAAATGACAAACGATGGCGGTAGGTAGGATGGGAAAAGTCTATTTTGGATTCTCCACCTAGGTTAAACCGCGCGCTTGTCTCGGCGTTTAATACTCTTACAATAGTTTTTCAACCATTCCAGTCCTAAGAGAAATTCTGCCCCCCTCCTCCCCCAGCCACTGCGCTATGAAGTAAATGAAACAACAAATAACACTAAAAGATCACACTTGTGAACTGCCATTGACGACTTTGCAGAAAAAATAAGGCTCCGACAGCGTGCATCTTTACGTCCCCTAAATACTCGTCAGGCAACTGGCTTCCAACTGAGCTTCAAAGCCACATCGTTACAGAATAAAATAGCTTTTATTTTTTAATTGTGTTCAGATCCCTTAAAAGTTTGACCTCCTCCCAAAATGTGACTTTGCACAGGCCAGAACATGAATTTTTTCATTTAATTTTTTTTAATAATCGGCATCTTTCATCCTGGTGACCTTGAATGAACTCTACCTCTGAGCACACGAAGCAAATTACAAATTCAATTCAGAAATTAACTGTTTACCTCGCTGTTTTGAGATGTGTTTGGTGCCTTCATCATGAAAAGCTGTGTTTTATCCGTCCTTTCCCAGCTGACTGATGGAGTTAGAGTCTTGGAAATTCTCATTCTGAAAAAATTTCATCGTGTTGAACAAACAGCGCTTAGCCTCGGGTCAGTGAACTTGATAATAAACACGGCTGTATATAGTTATTTTGATAATTGAAACTACCATTAACAACAGTGGAAACAAGAACTCTCTGAAAACGTTTGCAAAAACCGATCGAAGTCGGCCAATCCGTTCCTAACAGGAAAACTCGAGAAATGAGTTGTTGCATTAAAAAAATGCTAGAAGCCGATCTTGCCCCGTTCTATTGAAGTTAAGAGATATTAGCATTTCTCTCGTTTGATATAATCCATGTTCGAGAGAAACACTGCAGAGCCATATGTTTGAACGAGCCAAGCTTTACTTGCTCTGCATGGGGAATTTGATCGCAAGTAATAGGTAAAACACGTTGTTTTTAATTTGAGGTATTGATTGAAGACTTTATACTCCTGGTAAAAATTGCCTGAAATCTGTGTGTGCATATTTCAAATATCGACCTCATCGTTCACAGGTCAATTGCGATATATTTCATTTATTATTTGATAGGAAAGGACCAGAACAAAAGTTTTTGTAACCGGAGCGATCTAGACATGCAAGCGGCGGGGAACCTCAATTTCCGACAGAAGAAATTATCGATTGCTACTGAAATCAATAATGCTAAAAACATCAGTTTTCATTTAAGAAGCAATTAAGAGTCTGAACTGACAAGCAAAGGAAAATGTTTGGTTGTCACTTTGGGTTCAATTTCGCATCAAGAAATTGAGAGTTTAAGGTGTCAGTGCAATTTTGATGACACAATCATGTCTGGCACTAACAGAGCACTGATTGGCACTGATTTGGCAAGAAGGAATAAGTGTAAAGGGTGCTCTGACGCTGAAGCAACAAAGTTAAGTAGAAAAATAAAGACTGACACCGTGAGCATTCAGGATTATTTTTTAAAATCCCAACTAACCCAAACCCTAACCCTAGCACTATTTTCGCAAAATTTCATTTGATTAACGAACTTAATGCTTGATTCTACGCTTACTTCAACGAAGGACAATTAACAACTCATAATTGCAGTGATGTCTAGGGGGGAGCGCTTGGAAGTGAAAAGCTTTTTCTATTGACGCAAATTGCGTAACGCAAGATAAATATGAGTTCCGGAAATAAACTTGTTAAATATCAGCGAGTGTTTTTCTTGTATCCATTTATTTACAAAAGATAATCGTTGACAGAAGATAGGCAAACCCGTGCATTGTTCCGACCAAAGTTTAGGGTGGTCTGTGCAATGTTGGTTGTCATAATAACAATAAATTTAAAGAGAAAATATGGACTTTTATTGCATGTAACAGGGTCGTTCACAATATTAACAACTTGTCGAGGCTATGCAATGTCCTATTAAGTGAAAAAAATATTACATCCGTTTCTTTTACAGCCTATAACAAAAACTGATTTGTTTTGTTACGTTCGTTTGTTGTCGAGCGATGAAATCCTCTTTGGTGAGAACGTTGGGTAAAGCCAAAATATCCATCATGAAAAACAAATTTTAGAAATGTGACTGATGTCTGCGGAAGTGACTGAAAAACATATTTACATAGGAACTAAGATAAACGAGAGTGGGTATCAATCATAATAAGAGCGTGCTCTTGCTAAGCTCTGCTTCTGTTTGGATTCGAACGACAAACTTCACATGAAATGTTTACCTTCTTAAAACAAAAGTACCGCTCTTGTGATCAATCTTAAGTCAATACTTGGTCCTTTTTACACTTTTACAACAAAAGAAGAGTTTTTCCTTGTACGATAGTGAGTTTTCCTGTGTTTAGCTAAGTGATCCGAGCGGGAAAACCTCTTGTCACATAAGTCGCATATGAATGGTTTTATCCCGCTGTGCGATCTCTTATGGCGAGCTAGCTCATCCGATCTTGAAAACCTCCAATTACACCCTTTCCACGTACAAGCGAACGGTTTCTCTCCGGTATGGCGACGTATATGCGCTTTTAGATGGGAGCTCTTCGTGTACACTTTGCTGCAGCCGGGGAAGTTGCATTTGTATTCGCGCGTGGATACTCGACGTCTCGCGCGTTCTACCCGTCCGGCTGACGGTTTTCCTGCACCTGGTTTGGCCAGCGGGAGGCTCATCAGCGCTGTTTGACCTTCTGACCCTGGACATTGATATCGAGTTGCGAGCCCTTCTAAGTTATCGGAAATAATATCACTGCTTGAGTCGCTCATAGAGGAAGAATCACTGTTTGAATCATTGACGTCAGGGAGTAATAAACTGGCTGACAACACGAGGTTATCTTTAACGCATGAACCCATCTCAAGTCCAAAGGTTTGCTTGTAGTAAGAGTTGAACACTGAGGAAATTAAGTGTTCTTTTAATTCGCCTACCTCGTCGCAATCCGCTCCCAGGTAAATTTGCTCGTCCATAGAGTCTACTATTCCTTTTGAGAACAGATAATCCAGGTAGACATCAACAGGACATGATAAAGACATGGAGTCAATATGTTGATCGACCAGGCCATCTGTGTTGTCCGGTAAATATCCGCATAGTGGATACTGCTCTTCTAGCTCGGTAAAATCTAAAGCGCTGCCATCCATGAACTCCTCCAACAGAAATTCAGAATTCATACTTGCTATGGTCTTCTCTCTTGGGCAGCAAACGTGAACGTCGCTGCAAACAAAAATTAGAAAGTTTTTCCTACCGTCAAAGTTTCTCCTTACTAAAGCTATCGCATATGGTTAGATAAGTCAGTCTTGACGGGTTTAAATAGCCTGCGGTCGTTAACTCTATTGAAGCGCTCCTATTGGCTAAGAAAACTATCAACGAGAATCGAAGATGATAAGCATCTAACAGAAACAATTCACTTCCGATGTGTTGATTGGTCGCAGACTTGAAATTCGCAACAACGTGAAATTTCGCTACCAAATTGAAAAGTACACGAGTTTGTTACTTAAAGATGATCCTTTGACCTCAGGGCATGTGATTCTTTTGTTATTGCCTTCCTGCCGAAGCGTGTCTTAGGATAGTGTGAAAAGGGTAATGCTAAGAAGTTTCTTTTCCAAATATAAACAGAGCCACAGATAACACTGACCAGATCTGCGTTCAAGCAAGCACTTTTATTGTTTGGAATGACTTAATGAAAAATGACAACATTAGGCTGTTCGATAGGTGCGAAAAACGGATCAGTGTTGTGAAGATCCACTGTGATGCTGTTTACCATGGTTTGCCATTCATTTGTCTCGTGTCTAATTACTCGTAACAATGGAAGAATTTTGCATAGGTTACGTTAGATCGGAATAAGACTATAAAATCAAGTCATTTCTTCAGATAATTGGTTCTTTAGTGTAATATTTCATTCGACGACATGGTCTAATTTAAATTTCACGGCTGAAATAATGGGATTTACATGATGTTTTTCACGTTTGCCCAAATTCCTCGTGTATTTTGCAAAGCCCGTAAACAAACAAACGGACTTTTGTTATTTTTCTCTTGACATAAATCACCGAAAAGAAAACCTTAGTTGGGATTGTGTTCCAACCGTAAGGTAGGGCAACGTTGCTGGCTAAACTGACCTACTGCTGTTCTAACGTTTGCAGAGATTGATTGTTTCGTTATGTTCCGTATGAAGACTGCACGTGGTCAATTATAATCTTTAACAGGAAATATGTGTCAACACTCAACGAATAGATCACCTCTTCCCATGATTTGCACATCCCTAGAGATTTAGACCTTCTGTGTTTGTGAAATGAGATGGGAGCAGTAGATAATACTCAGCATAAGTAAGGCATTTTGTCATCAAATCTTTTGCCCTTTGACATCAGCACGCGAAAGAAGACTTTGGAATTTCACAATACATTGTCGGATAAGAAGAAGATTGCTAAACTGCTTCAGTATTTCGCAATTTCGTAAAGCCGTATAGAGGTTTGTCTTAATGTGGGTGTCATTAAGTTCCCGCTAAAATTTGGATGGTCCGTCGCATACGGTGACATGAGAGTTTTCCGATTTTGGTAGGAAATATATTTATGTTGGCTTGACTGCTTAACTTACGTGATACCTCCCAAGTGAACTTTGATCAAAACGTAAATTCTCTTCGGAGTAGTCTCTTGCTCTTCTGTAGTTGTTGTAAGAATCTGATATTTGCTAACTCTGAGTCTACACGTCAACATACAAATTCCCCATGCTGTTTTTAGGTAACTGTTGAAAGAATTAACTTCCTTTGCCAACCATGTCTGTTGACCTTTAGTGATTAATGCAATTTTTTTTGTTGTGTTGAAAAGAGACGTGTCTAAACCCATTCCGATGTTTAAAATTTTTCATCTTGCGAAATCAGTGGTAGTTTCCTTAATCACCAAAGATTTTAATAGGTGCTTTCAATACCGCTTCGTTGGTAATCTCTTCGCTCTTGAAAACACGTATCATCAACCGTAGTTAATTATGCACGTTAACTATGCATATACTAACCAATCTCTTCACTTTTAAGAACATCAGGTAGAAAATACGTTAGTCGACTGCTATCGCAATTATCAATGCAAGGGATCAAAGTAGACTCTTTCACGCAACAATGACAAAAATAGCAAAATCGGTCACGATAATGTTTTTTTACAACACAATTGCTTCGGTCAAGCTGAAATTTATTGTTTCGTGCGATTGGTAAAGGCAGAGGAAATGGAGACTTAAATACCCCCTTATTTACAATGAACACTAAACAAAGAAAGCGCAACTACTCAGAACTTGAGGCAAAATATTATAAATAAACTATGGTTATACTCTCTAGTAGCTGTTATCTTGGTTAGGTGACATAAGGCGCGCTCACGACAGCTTCTGCTAATGGAATTGGAAATTTAACGACAATGTGGCCTTGAAGGTTCAATTACCTTGGGGAGAGAAATGTCTCAAACTGAGCTGACCAGAAAATAAAGTGCTTGCGCATTGTTTTTACTAGACTCCCTTGGTGGGCTTCAAAGGGTCTCTGTTCTATGCGAGAAAGAAAAACAACTTAATAGTAGGGAAGGAAAGGGGCGATTCCGGCTTTACATTAATAAAATTGTACACTGAAAACTCGTGGAGAGGATCTCCTGATTATATTGCCACACAGGTATTACGCATATGGCGACCAACAGAGTTTCTTTTTTTTACCGATTCGGAGCCCAGTTGTTTAAAGTATCTCAACCCTAACCCTCAACCACAAAGAGTGAAAAAAATCTAATTTTTCCTTAGAGTGTCACCTCTGAATCAACCATTTTGTCGTAACGCCAGCTAAAGAAACTCTTGATTTTTCTAAAAAAACTTCTCCTTGCCAGTTCTCGAGGAAGTGCAGAGAGAACAGCACGCAGAATATACACGCTGCTACTCAGTGTCTGTTAAGGGATAAAAATTCTGACAGATTTTTAGTTCCCTATAGTCGATTTGCCCAAAATTACCCAACTTTTTTGTATTCAACAGGTGGCGTGAATTTAACAAACTCCGCGGCACAACCACACTCAAGTTTTCGTTGGATGCCTTTCCTGGGATTGTTGAGTGATTGCGAATTCAGTCATATTCGAGCAAAATCGATGGCACGATTGCCGAAAGTTTTCAGTGAAATAAATGTAAAAGCCTGGTATCAAAAAGTGCAACCTCGTTCTCAGGGCTCTTCAAGTTCCCTCTCCTGACTGTAAATGGCAAAAGACCTGGGAACGAGTTGTCGAGATGTTATGATAACGCCGGTCGTTAAATTAAAAAGAATTTATACTTTGTTCATCCGAGAGAACGCAAAAATTAAAGCATAGAAAACAATTTCACTTTCTATAGCAACATCTGTTTTCAGTTATCTTTTATTGTTCTCGAGTTTTTTCGGTTTCCATTGATTATTGGAGCTCTGTCACAGTTTTTGAATCTATCTTTAAATCTTACTCATCCCTCTTCATCTTTGTTTCATTTTTTTCCATTTCCGCTTTGTTGTTATTTTCTTCACCCTAGCACACAGTTGTTTTGGAGTGTAGGTGTCTAAAGATACTTTTTCGAACGCCGACTAAAAATTGAAAGTCCAAATATTGTAATTGTGACGTGGTTCCTTTAATGTTCATCTTAAGTTTCGGTTGGAGCCGGAACCAAAGCTTCGTTTATCGCTGTTCATTTTCTTCGGTTTCTTAGCCCTTGTGATCCAAGGTACGTATAGGAACTTTTGACTTTATACATCTTTTATTAATTCGAATTTATCGAGCTTCTTACGATAATTAAGAAATGGAATACACTGAATCCCTTGATAAGGAGGAAGACTTTTGACTTTATACATCTTTTATTAATTCAAATTTATCGAGCTTCTTACGACAATTAAGAAATGGAATACGCTGAATCCCGAATCAAATCAAATCAAACGCATGAGTAGATGTTAGTGTGTGTCGGTAATATTGTTGACAATTCAGAGAAAGATCAGTTTTACAACCACCAGGCCATGTTCTTCAAAACACGACCATGTGTTTATCCAGGGTAAGAATAAATTATGCCTACAGAGTAAGAATAAATTATTTTTCAGTGTCGCTTTAACAGGTTTATATTGGTAATGTGCCTCTGTGGAGTCAACGTTCGCCTCAGAAAAAAATATTGCGACTCAGAAGGTTAGCTCTAACTGTCTTTCGAATAAGCGGCCTAAAAGTCAACGTTAAAGTCCTTGAAACCTAAGGACGTTAACTCAGAACGCATTATCTGCACATCATCTATACGCATGAATTATACATACATACATACATACATACATACATGAGATAGAATGAATATATGAAGTTCATATATTTTGAACTGCGGTATTAGATACGTATGATGCACGATCCTCGCAGTAGATAGCGCTATTTATGCAATAGTGAAAGTCAGACCTGAAAAACATCAGGCCTGTACGGGACTCGAACCACTGACCTCTGCGATACTAGTGCAGCGCTCTACCAATTGAGGTAACAAGCCAACTGAGAGCAGGCCGTTAAGTTGATTCGTAATAAACCCGTGAAAGTGATAAATGAGATAGAATGAATATACGAAGGCCTGATTTTTTTCAGGCCTGATTTTTTTCAGGTCTGATTTTCGCTATTGCATAAATAGCGCTATCTACTGCGAGGATCGTGCATCATACGTATCTAATACCGCAGTTCAAAATATATGAACTTCATATATTCATTCTATCTCATTTATCACTTTCACGGGTTTATTACGAATCAACTTAACGGCCTGCTCCCAGTTGGCTTGTTAGCTCAATTGGTAGAGCGCTGCACTAGTATCGCAGAGGTCAGTGGTTCGAGTCCCGTACAGGCCTGATTTTTTTCAGGTCTGATTTTCGCTATTGCATAAATAGCGCTATCTACTGCGAGGATCGTGCATCATACGTATCTAATACCGCAGTTCAAAATATATGAACTTCATATATTCATTCTATCTCATTTATCACTTTCACGGGTTTATTACGAATCAACTTAACGGCCTGCTCCCAGTTGGCTTGTTAGCTCAATTGGTAGAGCGCTGCACTAGTATCGCAGAGGTCAGTGGTTCGAGTCCCGTACAGGCCTGATTTTTTTCAGGTCTGATTTTCGCTATTGCATAAATAGCGCTATCTACTGCGAGGATCGTGCATCATACGTATCTAATACCGCAGTTCAAAATATATGAACTTCNAAATAAGAATTTCATGATCACGACACATACAGCAAAGTGAAATATAACTCAACTGGTTTGAAATTCATAGTGCACTTCGACTCAACATTCATTTCGCAAGGCAAAGCATTCTACTGAAATGAACAGGACAGAATACAGCTGACGCCATTCGTTTCGAATAACACATGAACATGAAGAAAAGGGCACCAGTTTTACTCATGAGACAAAGCCCACGCATTTTTTTGAGGTTAATGGACTAGTTAGACCGAAAGCTAGATAAATAAACAATTAACTGACAATAGTGAGGGACTTGGGGGGCCAAGTGATAAATAAGTTTTACCAAAGTTTTTCCTCTAGTTAGCACATGGATCTCGAAAAGACAATAGTAAAATTTACCACAAAAACACAGTAAAAAATAGGCCAAAACCGGAGTTGATTGAGGTAAGACGATAACAATTGTTAAGACACATGCCTACCTACCATGTACAACAGACTAGGAGAGCAAAAAGGCCAAAGACGGTTTTGGATCATGACTTGGAAAATCCACCAAAACCTCCCGAAAAATAATTCGCTGAGGGTTGTAGTAAGAGCAACTTACTCCTGAAGTTGGAACATCTTTTAAAGCCTTGTGTCCTATATGACTGTATAGAGAACGAAATGATGATGTTATTAAAGTGATTTGATGCTTGGGGGCCACCTAAAAGTTAACGAAATTTTACTTCGAATTTGAAGCAAAATAAGATCACAATCTAAATTTCCATCTTTCCTCGGATCAAATATCTCACGATCGTCTTCACATACAACTTGGTGATTCACAAAAATAAAACATCAACATCTTAACACTAACCTTCAAGGTTTGTTGTCTCATGCGTACATTTTTATCTTCAGTAAATCAAATCTCAAACTTCAAGTTTTCGGGCTTTTTTCGCGTTTTGTTCGCACTTTGATCATTAAAACATCCTCAACCGAAGAGCCAACAAACACCACGAGTATCCACAGAGTTAGAAATGTTGGTGAACTTGTCATGTTCCTTCATCCATCTTCAAAAAATATTACAAAAAGGTGGCGATCGTCCAGTTGAAACCTCGCAGAAACGCGTCGAAAACTTTACAAATGGCGCCGAACGCGAAAAACCAATTCCCCTCGCGCATGCGCAGACAAAATGCCTCTCTGTTACAGAGATTTAGAGTTAACTTTGCTAACTAGAGAGTCATAGGGAGAATTATAATCCTCCAAGATAACTCTAAGAATTCGCTTGTTATAACTTAATTCCTCTTAAGATCATCAAATATATATTGGAAAAATAACTAAGGTTGCCTGAAAACTTCTGTTCGTAGATGACGCAGCATTCTGTCAAGGCATTTGTTCGAGAGAATTTCGGCGAGGATTACTTACCAGTCTATCACGGCCAGACAAACATTATCTCGCCACTTGCGCTGATTGTAAAACGGAAGCGGTCTTTGTGGAAGCGCCCCTTTGGCAAAGGGGAAATGGTCATCGTTGGTGGATTGCAAAGGTACATCACTGATGAGAAAGAGAAAGACTTTCATAGTTACTGCCGATCCAAACTTATGAAAGAAAACAGGAATTTGGAAAAAACAGAAACGAAAGAGGTCGGCAGGTAAGATTACACATTCTTGTGATAAACTCTTTATAGGTACTGCTCATGCGCCCACGGCTTTTTCGATATCCGACTGTGCCAATACTTCCGGGTAATGAGACCCCAATGAGTCAAGCTTTATTATAGCGCTTGCCTCACAATCTCAAGCTTGCCTCAAAGAAAAAAAAACTTATCATACGAAGAATCACGAGCCCTTTTGCGCAATTCTGAGTTTACAGTTAAACAAACTTGCAAATATTAGAATTGTCATCAGGGACAGGAGACTTAAGACCAGGGATTGGGGAAGAGGAAGTGGTATGTGGAGAATATAGAGTGGAGAATGGGGAATGGAGAAGAGAGAATGGAGATTTTGGAATGTAAAATGAGAAACGAGTAGGAAGAAGTGGAAAAAATAGTAGGAAACATGATCAGGATTTAAGCATGAAGAATGAGGAGAAGGGAATAGTAAATTGAGAAAGATCAACATGATCAATGAAGCCAACATTTTAACATTTTTACGACTCCACTAAGCACTGAGGGAATTTTTGTTTAACTCAACATGACTGGTGCATTGACAGGAATCTCGATGTCTCATTTGAGGGCTTGGACACTGGGGGACTGGAACTTAAGTTAACCGACATTCTGGGGGACGTGGAGCTTGGAAAACTTACAGAGGAGTATTACGTGGACGCAGATCTGCGCGAATTGTTATCACTAGCTGTGTTAGATACTGATAAGATGACGCCACTGGAGGGTCACAATTTGTGTCTTGTAACTGCAGTGATGTATAGCGCAAAATTTTTCCTTAAAGGCAACCGAATGCATCAGGTATAGATTTTAGTGTTGCACGTTCACTTTCCAGAAGTTAAAACATGACATACAGGGTAGCTCTAATGGTTACTTTGCTAGAGCCTGGATCGAGAAGTCTGGGTTAGAGGCCAGAGTGGATCATCGTATTCTGTTCTTGAGTAACAGACTTAACTCTCGCTATTGCTTCTCTTCACTCAGGAGTACAAGGAGATGGTGGCAAAGAATCAGAGAAAACGCTACGAAGAGCTGGGGTGGGGGGTAATCAGTGAGCCCTCCAGGGGTCTAAAGCTCCAGTAGCCAAGCATTGGGCTCAAAAGCAAAGCAGAAGTTTTTTTAAGTGTACAACATAATCTGAAAAGGATTCTTGATATATAGCCGATTATGTAAGAATCTACTCTTGGTCTAAGGATGTGCCAGGGGGGACAATTTGCGGGAAAATTGGCTGAGTTTAGCGAGGGAGAAAACCTCTAAATGAAAACTTCACTAAAGACAGCCGTCCCATTACGAATACAGCAAACTTTTAGTACCATATCTGTGATGGTCTATAACGAACGACATGATACGTTCGAATACAAAAAAATTAGCAAATAAATTGGAGCATGTAAACTCATTTCAATAGCACTTTGTGATATCAGAGTGTCATTGTACCTAACTTCATGTAAAACTTTCATCTTTTAGGCAATATTTTCAGGAGATGTGCACACACCCTCCAAATTTGCCTCATTATTGGGGAGTGATTCCTTTTTAAAAGGAAGCGTTAAAAAGCAGTCTTTCCTTCCACCAATGGTGCGAAGACATTCTCGTGCGCCTTTCCTCTTCAAATTTTGTCGTGTGGCTTATAACAAGGAAGGGAAAAGGTTACAGATTGATGATGGCGAGTTTGTCGGCAAACAATTCCGTAGTCGGGGTGGATACGAAGATAAACCTGCTCCCGTCCATTCAGTCATATCAGACGAAGACGCAGCGATTCATTTAGAAATGGAAGAAAGTTTAACTCCAGGTATTGTTCTTGTTTGCTTATTTGAGACTGTCTGGATTGCGATGCCGCTCTTTTATTGGACTGGAAATAAATCGTGAAATTGATAAACTTCTTCTCAAAATGGAGTCTGAAGTAATATATCCAGGGAAGAAGCTCAGCACTTAGTCATGTACAAAACGATCTAAATCCGCTACTGGTCTGGGTCACAGGGTACCCAGCCACCGTGGCCAGTGTGTATACCAGACCCATGAGGGTGCTGTTCAAGCAGCCTATAAGAATAAAATATGGACATGAACCAGAGTGAATTTTCACGAGTATCTGAAGTCTCTAGTATCTCTTAGTCTAAAGAGCTGAATTTACATCAATCTCTCTTGGTGCCCTTCCTATAATTTAAATTTCTCAAATTTAGGTGGGATTTTCCTAACAAAGAAAGATGATGAAAAAGTAGAAGAAGTCAGAAAACTTCTGATAACTGCAGAAAATGGTACTCAGCTGAAAACACTGATACTTACGTATTTGAATTGGGTAGGTGCCATCCATTACTAAAATCTTGAAATAACGCGTCCGTATCTGAATCCATAAAATCAACCGGATAAGACAATCATGATCAACTCTCCCACGAGAATGACACAAGGAGTCTTGCAGATGATAATGGCAAGCGAGAAACAAAATCCACAAATATTTGGATTTTTCACGATACGATACCAAGTACCTTATATGTTTAATGCTAACAAATTTTATCTACAATGAGGATGATTTTTGATAGTGTGGGTAATCTAACTAACGACAACTTTTCTTAATAGTGAAGATCTCCTTTAAAAAGAACTTGACGATTTTCGGAGGGGGGAGGGGAGGAGAGTACTTTGGATGGACTGAAAGCTGGATAAACTGTCATGTTGACAACTTGCTTCCACTGCAGACTTTAACTTTATGATGTTCTTCATTAGTTTGAACATATCCTGACAAGTGACTCCAAGCAGTTACTACTCGACAAACCCCTGACAAAGGATGATTGTGACTTTCTCCAAAAACTTGGAATTCGAGCCAGGCCAAAGCAGTTGTTTCTGAGACTAGCTTCAGTGCAGAGAGACGTGATCCATGAATATGGCTGCTTGTTCAAATTTATCAGTGGTAAGATAAATGCGATAATTTAAAAAGATCATCACTCAAAATGAATTTAATCAGTGTGAAAACAGCTTATAAGTAGATTTAATCTAGGTTACATTAATGATTGAAAGTAAAAGAATCATACATTTTTAATTCATTATTTGGAAATCGCTGGAGGGCGTTATCCTGATATAACGTACTGGTAAATCCTGGCTTAAATGATAAACGAAGAAGTTCATAGCAGCTCGAAGAGAGAAATATTATCCAATCTTGGAAGCTGAAGAGTAAAACATTGATATATATGCCAATTTTCATTTGATTGTTGGAAGCAAACCAGGATTGCATTGGTTTTGTTTTACTTCTCTTTGTGATTGGTTCTGAAACTCGCACCACCCTCTTGGCCATGTCATAGAGACGCAGCAGAAAATTAAAAGAAAACCCCTGTGATTTTCTTCTGAAATTCAAGATTCCAATTGGCAGAGACAAACTTTTCCGTAAACACTTCTACAACTCAGGCGTTACCTACACATTTTTAATGATCATTCTCATTTTAAATCCCCACAGAAGCATCACAAGAAAACTGGGAAGAACTTCTTCAAAGAATAGTGGAATCAGGGGAAGGGGAGAAGAAAAGTGAAGATATTGCAGCAGCGGAACAGAAATGATTCGTATTTCCTTTCAAACCTCTAGCTGAAAGAAGCAAATAAACGCCTTATTTGGACCGATTGAAAATTAACTTGGACTCACTGACCAGTGTCATAGTTGCTAGATACAGAATATCATGTCCGTCTTGTGTGACTACCATTTTCAGTGATGTCGTAGAAAATTGACTCTAAAATGTTCCAAAAGAGTTCTTGGCCTGTGCATGGTTACTTTAAAATCGTGGATCTGAACTTCCAAGGTACTATACAATGTATCGTATCCGCACGTGGAACATGTTGAGAAAAAAGGAAAAAAAAAAATAAACAATGAGAAAAGGGAGGGTGAGTTCTCCTGTCAGAATCGATTCAGTCCCTCCCCTTTCATTTTCACCCAGACAACTTCAAAATAAAAGCTTTAAATATTGATAATCGCCGTTGAAAAGCAAAATACTGCATATAAACAACACTATATGCAATTCATCAAAATTTATTTCAATTTCCCACCTCCCGCTTCTCTTTCTTATTTTCCACTCATCTTTACCAATTTAATATTTTCCATTTCTCTTTTCCCATTGCAAGAACAACATGATTCATGCACGCGCTGCGGACCTGTGTGTTCTGAACAGTCAGACAGACAACCTTTATTTTAGCACGATAGTAATAAAGGCTATGCAGCTTATGGGGTCGTACATACATACTAAACCTAAGAACAAAATATATACATAATAAGTAACAAAATCAAACTGTCTAAAAGTTATATTTTTATAAGCTATGACATAACCTAAATATAATGGGAATCTTTACGTCTAAAATTTGGGGCTGTTGTAGAGGTCTCTTTGAAAGTCAACTCTTTAAAAATATCCATTGCACGGGTTTTCTTCTTCAGGTTTTGATAACTTGTATTAGGAATAGTTTTATCCTTAGAAATTAAAATATTCCATAATACAGGGCCTCTATAAGCAATAGAGTTTTTACCATAAATAGAGCTGAGACGTGCCACCGCTAAGGAGTCTGGCGCTCGTAAAGTGTAACCTGTAGACCGTTTTGTCATAATATTATCGGATAGCACTAGTGGGAGCTTATCATGAAATGCTTTGTACATTAGCTTTAACAGAACTAACTTGTAACCATAGCTCAGCGGATGCCAATCAGCTTGTCTTAACATGTCCAACGATCTCATGTCCTTAGGTAAATTAAAAATTATCCTCGCCGCCCTACAGTGCAATCGTTCCAATGAGTCGAAGAGATCTGCATTAAAACACGACCCCCACAGAACGAGGCCGTAAGTTACTGATGGCAATATGACACTGAAATAAAAGTTATTAAGAACGTCCTTCGGTAGGAACCTCAATCTCCTAATTAGATATAGCTTCTTTGCGAAACTCTTCGACTGTTATACCCAGTAGACGAGACTTGTTAACCCGCTTTATGGCATCGGTACCTATGTGGATTGGCGCCACTGGCCTAGTAATTTTGGTTTTGCAAATTAACACGGCTTCACTTTTTTCCGTATGTGGGGTAAGGTGATTTAAAATACACCATTTGTACAGCTTTATCCAATTGAACTGCCGCTTCATCTGCCGTTTGTTTGATACAGTAGATCGTAAAATCGTCAGCGAATAAGTAGACGGAGCCTAATTTCACCGTGACTTGGTGGTAGATCGTTGACAAACAGAGAGAATAGTGTAGGGCCGAGCACTGATCCCTGTGGTATACAGACGGATACGGGCATAGTGTCAGAGATATTCCATTAATAACTGTGTACTGCTTTCTCCCAATTAAATAATCAGTAATCCAACCCAGTGCTTGATCACAAATGCCAAAGTTTGAGTGTAATTTCTCCAACAAGACCTGGTGCGATACACTATCAAACGCTTTGCGAAAGTCAACAAAGGCAACAGCCACTATGGAACCAGAATCAACTGCCTTTCTCCACGTTTGCGTAAGATGAACAGGCAGGAGGTCGGTAGAGTAGCCCTGTCGATAAGCCCATTGTCTGTCGGAGGCTAACTTATGTTCCTTAAAGACGTGATGTACCAGGGAATCATTCACCTCGGATTCAAGGATTTTGCTTGGGATACTGAGTAGCGATATCGGTCTGTAAATTCCTATCTCTGTCGCATCGTCTTTCTTAAAGATCTGTGTAAGCTTTGCAGTTTTCCAGCTGAAATAGAGAGACTCCCTTTCAATACTAGTATTGAAGAGCCTGTGCATGGATGCTACAATATCCTCTCCCGCAAGCTTTATAGTAATTTAGGTGATAAGTTGTCAGGGCATGATCACTTCCAGGGCTGTAGTCAGATTTCAGGACAAGACGAGGCAAGTTTCGAGCGCCGAAGGCGCGAGCCGCCAGAGGGGTCTGGGGGCATGCCCCCCAGAAAACCTTGAAATCTAGAGGTTTAGAAATGCTCTTTTAAGGATTTTCCGTAGCAATTTTCTTCAGAAAAGTCAATCTTTAAGAAAAAAATTTAAAAAGGCCAAATTTAAGACGAGGTCATTGCCTCGTCTTGCCTCATGCTAGCTACGGCCCTGACTTCTTTGATTTCAGTTCGTTGACTTTCCTGCGTATTCTCTGGGGAGAGATCTCAATTTGGTCACTCACTCCTACACGATTTATGCACGTACTGCGGACCTGCGTGTTATGAATAGTCACTCCTACATGATTCGTGGATTGTGGGTAGAGCACTGTATACTGCACCACCCACAAAAGCGGGACGTTATCAGATTGAAATCTTAAGATGAGTTTACAATGTGGAACATCTACAAGGATGGCGTTTTCTTAACTTCCTCTACAATTCAGAGAAGTATAACGTGTTCAAAATAGGAATTATTGGTGTGTTCTCGTGGATTCGGTATTTCCAACAAAAAGCGGAACTGTTTCTAATGTAGGAGTCACGTGCTTTCTAAAAACCGTCATGATAAATGTGACACCTGAACAAAACCATTATGTTCTTAAAGGTGATCGAATGTCTGATCAACTCAGGCACATTTACCTTCTAAACAATTTTTAATGGGTAATGTAAGAATTTTAGGGAAACTACCTTCCACTTTTATTAATTGAGCAAAAAAAAAAAAAATTAAACCACTTCCATCTTATTGAATTCTTTATCTTCGATTTCCCTGACTATATTTTTCTGGCTTTTGTTTGGTGTGGGAGAAATATGCAATGACAGATATGGTTATTTTTCGGTGCTCACCCAACCCTCTCAATTTTCGACTGTTTTACTACCTAAGCAGAATGTCGCGTGACATACAAAAAAAAAGAAACCCATTTAATTCATAATTGACAGTCGTCAACGATTCAAGGTAACATAGGGGCGCACGCGCAATTTTATATTTGTTTGCAAAACTATTTCGAAAACGAATCATAAACAAAGAAGCCAAACGTGGTTTATTTTTTCTGACTGGATAAAAATAATAGTCAAAGTGTTTCCATTCTTGACACGTGGCGATCGAAAACAACAGAATAGGGTTGATTTAGACCTCCGGCGCCATTGAACCCACTTAAAAACATAACAATACTTAGAATATAACAACATCTAGCTGGCTATGCACGCAATATATATTTTGTTCATTAATTCTACTCTCTGCGCCAATAGCTGCGTGACATTTCACCACCTTGAAATATATTTTTTTTTATTTCCGATCTAAATATTACCATGTACAAATTAATTTTAGTCAAAACTTCTTGAAAGAAACGACCACGCTTTTTAATGGCAGTAAGAGAAATGCTATACATCTTGAATTTAAAGTTCCTGTTTTGTGTGCAAAAAGTCCTGAGCATTTTAAACCCGGAAGTACATGTTTCAATGGATTTTTACTGTTCAATGAAAAGGGTCTTTCCGCCTCGTTACATTTTGTTATATAATTCAGGCCAAACGTGACGGGAACACAGGGCGTCGGCTAGCCAAAAATAAACAACACATAGACAACGCTTGAAAGAAAATTACGAATAATTCATGTACCCTTGAAGAGAGATGGCTTAAAATATATGTGGTTGAAAGTGATTGATTATTGTATTGTGCGAAACGGAGCTTCTTGGGGGAACGATGGCCGATTTTAAAATGAAAAGTACCCTTACAATGGGAAAGCTACAGGACACAGCTTTAATACATTTAGCCGACGTACGATTATGGAAATTGTCTGAAGATTTCGAAATGCCACATGCTGTGTTACTTTGTTTGTGTGTGGGAAGAAAACAATTGTGATACTATCGCTGTCTTCAAGGTCACGGTGAACTATTTGTCTGTTCGATTTTTGTGTCTGTAATGACGCCAACAACGTAGTTTTCCTTTTGACGAAATTTTCAACCAGAAAGAGGCAAAAAAAAGAAAAAGGCAGACCCATTTAAGCGGCCGAAATATTTTCATTAATTGTTGTTATCGAAGAGCATTCGAGAGTTTGCCTAAAGAAGTAATACGCCTCAGCCCCTCGGTGCAATTTGCATTTTGTAGTCGAGGATAACAAACAAACTATAGAAAACAAAAGCTATCCGATATATATAGCAGCGCATTCATCACTTTCTTATAGAAACTGGCCAGACAAGCTTGAATAAACAAGATGCGATATGCCATGAGATTTGATTTAGATCACATTTATTATAGTGTAGCGCTCCTTCCGAATTATTACAGTACATACGTTTGCGCCGGAAAAAAAATATTATCCCTTGAAACTGCTGATTTTTTTTGACTTGAGAAATAAAAAAAATTCTTTTATATCGCGAACACGTGTTGTTTCATATGTCAAAATAGCTAGAGCTGATGGCAAATTCAGCTGGAAGATTTTGATAATCTGGAAAAACAATAATCTCTATGTTTGCTAAAACTAGAACTTTTCATTCAGTGTCGTAGAACTAACCAATCAGAATCGTTTCAACTGAGATATCTTGTCCTTCATGACAGCGATTTCTTTGCCCAAGGTCGTGTGTTGTCTGCGCGGTGACTTAGGAGAAAACGCTTCTCGATCTCAGTTAGACAAGCGAAAACATTACAGGTTAGAAACAAAAACATTTTTTCATTTGACTAGATTAACATGTAAAACCAAATGCTAATTTTATCATATTTTATAGGGTTTGTTTACGATCATTCAGTTACCAGCGACTATTTTAAGTCACGTCTGGCTCTATTTTCTTACAAAGAACAGGATTGTTTAGATGGCTAAAAGCAGATTTCCAGCGTGGGAGTCCTATTGTTTTCCATTTCTCTGTTTATTTTTGTTTTTATTTACGGGTGCCAATTACGTGACGTCACGCTGCAAAGCGAGGCTTTGTTTGGGCTAAAAGTAAATTCATCAACAACAAACGCGACAGAATTGTTTAGCAGGCTAAAATTAACAATATTCTGCTCCGTAATTCAACGCGATCTCGCCGAGAGAATTCCATCTAATTTTACTTAAAATTGGAGGAAAAGGCCTTGTTAGCTTCGAGTACTTGCAGGCAGTCAGGCAACTGATGTGACTTCGTTCATTCATTGATATTTCTGTCGCTGCGGCATTACAAAGGTAAGCGCGTGCTTGCTTCTCGCCATCAACAATCTACAGAATGTTTATCTTGGTTAGATTTCTTATTTCAGAAAAATCACAATGTACTGGAATCTCGACAGAAACAGCAAATGTTCAAATGGAATTTAGAAGACCTTTTAAGCGATTTCCTGGTGTTTGATATCTCGCAATCGCAAGTGAAATTGCCATTTTTATTGTTGTTTACACGAAGGACTCTTTTGTTGTTGTTTATGGCGTGGCGACTCGAGAATAGTAAGGTTTTGGTGAACATTTTCTCAGATAACGCGAGTTACATAAATTACGGAGACCATTCTTAAATCTCTGTTGAACTCTTTCGCTAGTTTTCTGTACTTTACCAAAGATATTTTTCCATTCACGGAACTGTTCTCGTTATTGACTCAAATAAATTTATTCAAATCTTGCCCATATGGCATATGAATCAATTAGTGCGGTTTTCTTTTGCTCAAGTTCGAGGACTCGACTGCATTTTTTATAGAGAAAAAATTATCCTTATAGAAAGTTAGAATCATACTCAATAGTGAATAGTTCGACAAGTTTTTCTGGAGCCGCGATAAAATTGAAATCTGCATGAAATTTCCGGCTTGGGTCGCCGCGCGCTTTTCGACTGCCAGAAAACTTCACGCATAAACTTCACTTGAGATTTGATTTGAATTTCTGGCTTGTTTGAGAAAAATTTGGCAACGTGTAGGATAAAAAATTTATTAACTTCTCTTTTTTCCCTTTTTTAACAGCCGCGATATTTGTCTGATTTTCGAAACATCAAAGGGTAAGCGGACTATAATTAACATCCACCTTCCGTGTTCTAAAGGCTCATTGAACCATGGCAGCTAAAGCAAACGAAAACGACGGCACTGTTATCGCGTCCAGCTCGTCCAGGGGAGCCAGTGTAAGATATTTTTTTGTAATTACCTCACTACTAACTTACATTTAACGACATGATGCGACTGAACGTAAGATTTCACAGGATGAACCTGAAACGTGAAAGGCATAATATTAATCGTTTCAGTGAACACATGTACGTACCGGAACAACTCTAAAGACAGTCCCGTTTGAAAGGCAAGATTAAAATTAAAAAACGCCTCGCAGTCAAAGAACGGACACGTAGATGCCTCCGAAGACGGTTGCAATTTTTTTTTTTTTTAAATGTTTGATTTCTTCTCTGCCTCTTGAGCGTGACTCTAGGCTGCTGTAGGTTCAAAGTCACTGTCCCTACCCCTGTCGATAGAGTCAAATTACACGACTCACGCGAACTCTCGCGAGTCTCAAGTAACAGTCTCAAATAACTTGTTGCGCTTGTTACAACTTGACCGAGACGAAGCTCATTTGAGATACGTTAATAAACTTTTACTGTTGGTATACAAGCTGCCTTTTTTTATCAAATGAGATGACTAAACTCCCAAGGTTTGAACTGACTTTTCCAATTACCCTTACTTCCTCATTCCCTCTTTCATACATCATCTCCTCAAAGTCCAAATAGTTGCCATTATCATTCCATGATTTTTTTCCTTTTTATTTGCCAGTAGCCCACAGTGTGCAAGCAACCACCCAGAAATAGTACTTAGCTCATGTTAAAAGATGCAAATAATAAATTCTGTTCATGGCTAGTTATCTCTCAATATTCTTTTATGGAAAATTAAAAAGGCAGGTTGACCCCTAAAGTCACCTGCATATGAACTCCATTCCAAAATGATAAGAAACACAATGTCAGTGATCTACTGATAAAACATAACTTAATATTTAAATTGGTTATAGCAAAATGTGGTTTTATCTCAGTTTGTGTCTTGTATATTAATGACTTCATTGCCCTAGCCTTTGGCTTTGGTAAAGTTTGATATTGATGCGTTTGCCACTGACAAATTACCAAGATTTCTATTCTTCATCCAGTCATTTTTAATGAAACATCAATAATCCTCTATTTTGAGTAGGGAAATTTCTGGGTAAAAATTTTCATGACCACATCTTTCTTCCTTTCCTGCCTTTCTTGTTGTAAAAGAGTAGTTTTTGTTATTAGCATAGGAGAGCAGAAAATTTTCAGTAAATAATTTTTTTTTGCCTCACAGGTAAGAGTATCATCACCTGTAAAGAGTCCAACAAGAATTCCAAATGTGGATGTTAATAATAAAGGAGTTCATGAACCCTGTAGCACATCCAACTGTGCATGTGGAACACATACTCCTCACAAACTGATGCAGCAAAGCAAACACATTACATGCTCCTCTCAAAACTGCTGCTGTAGCCATGAAGTACATGTCCCAGGAATGGTCTACCAACATGTCGCACCAGCTGTGGCGAATGTTGTGATTGATGCATCCGTTTCCACCACCCAAGATACCAAAGCCACGCCCAAGCATGGAGGGGTGCACTACTGTTCAAGCTGTCCCCCTGGACCACATGCCCATCATGTGTACTCACCAGCTAACTGTCACCCCCAGCAGCCTCCATTCATGGATCATGGTCACTGTGGTTGTCAACCTGGATACGTTGATGGACATTTTCATTTTCCTCACCAAAAGACTCCACCTCGACCTGTTACAGTCATGGCACATCCACCACCATTACTGCTTAGACCTGTTCAACCTCAGCATATGCAACAACATCAGGTATATATCATATCTACCATACTTATCCTATTAATTACAGGTAAATTAGCATTTATGATAAAAGTTTTTTTTACTTCTTAATCCACATGTTCAGTTTAATTGATACAATTCATGTATTTTTAAGAGTTTCAGTTTGTAATAGGTACAGATAATGGTAAATATTCCAGTCCTACATCCAAGTTGTTATATACAACTTCTCCAATGTTACTTGTGAGAAATCAGGTTTTCATTTAGAAAGAACAGACTTCAGCAGGGCTTTTTTCAGGGTTGATATTTCATACAGAGAGTAGAAATAAGGTACTACATGCAGATGATTTTGTATTTTGGGTGGAATAAATTCCTTACTCAGAAGATTTAATTTGTCATCTTGCAAGGATGGGAAAAAGAAATTTAACTGAGTCCCCCTAATGAGATCAACCTTAAATTTTGCATTTCATTCTAGTAGAGTACAACTTAGATCAGAAATTTGTAACTTTTTACCCAAAACTTGATGTCTGTGTGACTCATTGGAAACAACTCCTTCATCTGTTTCATAGGCAATTCTTGAGCAGGAACTACGCCCTTATTTTGATGGGAAATGGAAAGGCCTTGGAGACCCTCACATGTCTAACTTTGGTACAGTGACCATTTCTGTTCTTGTGATGTAGTATCTGTAACAGTCCAACATTGCAATTTTAATTCTCACCAGAACTTAGTAGTGGACTTAATGATCCGGAATTCTGTGCAAAGAAATTGCTGGTACAGTTAATTGTATTGCACTGTATGTCAAACAGATCCAAAAGAATTGTATTGACAGAAATTCATTAGAAAATCGTGAATGGTCATGCTGTATGTACTTTTTCAAGTATTTTGTATAAGTACAAAATGGTAGTGGTTCCTTGAATAAAGGTACCTTCTAGAAAAGAATATTAAGGAAATTTCGTCATTTCAAAAATTAAGAGGGTACTTCACAATCATTTGACTGAGTAAGATTCAGAAGGTCATTTTAATATATATCTATATATAGCCCTTTGGCATACAAAGCTCTGCTTTCATGTCCAAATTGAGCAATGTGGGATGAGTCATTGCCGCTAGCATTGCGCATAACTCACTAGGCTTTCCTAGTTTGAGCACTCTGGCATGGCTTAGACGATGCCACAAGTGTGGGATCGTTTGGGGTAACCATATTGGTTCTCCCCCATCCTAGCATCAGTACTGCACTGATGAGGCCCAGAAGGCTGAAACAGTACTGTCTGCAGTTATTTATAGATATGATAAGTGTAATTTTAGTACTTTTTTTTCTTTTGTATGATCTCTAAGGAGTTTCATTAATGTTTTCAGCAGGAGGGCAACTGGTTTTCACAGACAGGCAAAACTTTTTGAACTGAACTTCTTTATAAGATAAACTTTCCTCTAGATGGTCAAACCAGCTGGGCAAATCCTTCCTCACAGCCAGTCAATTTTCCCAGTGCTGGGCCCTTAATGAAGTACTCCTGATCTTTGCTATAGCTGGAAGTTAATTTGTCAGTAAAAGGGCTACCATTCTGCATGAAATATGCATGTGCACTGTCTTATGTAATATTTACCTTTTCAGTGGAAAGGGTATGGGTTGATTCAGCCAGGGGTGAGAGTATAAATAATAATTGCAGGATGGATGTAATTTGTAGTATTAACAAATTTTGTCAGACACTCTCCCAACCCCCCCTCCCCCACTCCCTTTGCAATGATATGCGAATGAATACTTGAGATTGATGTAAGTTCTTTTTTTTTTCCAGGTGGACGACCCCAACCATCAGATGGATCTGTGTGAGTTTTTATGTCATAACTACTATGAAAGTAATATTTATGCACTTTTGATAATTATGATTGTATGTATCATTGACCTTCAATTTAAATTAATGATCAGAAACTTATAGTGTTTGACCATGTGTAAATATCACAAGACAGCTTGATCAGTTAACTGATTATAATGTTTCTTTATTTCAATCCAAGTCATTGTTGGACTAAAGAAAAGCTATCAAAGCAGTTTTAACAGGAGTACATAATTTGTTATAAATACATGTACAGACATACATGTATTATCTTAATTAAGAATTATTGCTATTTTTAAAACTTACACTTGCAAGTAATAATACTTATGTGCTTCCTTTTTTACTCTATGCAGGGCAAGTGCAAACTCATTTATTGGTGAATCTCAACCAGATATGAAGTTTAAAAGTAAGTGATATATCAGAATGAACAAAGAAATAGCTCAGTGGTTAATAGTGCTATAATTAAATGTTAATTAAAAGTGAAAAGAAATATTCATGTTAATAGAAAATGACCAAGTAGAAGACAGAAAAACATTCACTTAAATGTTAAACTGATTTTAAAGTCAGAGTGAAACAAACTTAACAACTGTTTTCCCAACATTCCAAGTGGGTTATTATGCTGGTAAACCAATAGAAAATGTGTTGTATTGTGTAACTCTTCAAGAACAAGGGACTGGATGTCCTACTTACAATTTGTTACCAATACTTAAAACAATGAATTGGTCACTTCAAATGAGGGACTATATTTTTATAGAGGAAATTTGTTTTTTTATCGCATGCCTTAATTTTTTTATGTTACAGCTCAGCACCATCCACTATTTCATCATAACATCTGCCAGTGGCCAGGTTGTGAGGCTTTTTGTGAGAATTTCCAACAGTTTTTGCAGTACGTTTTTTTTCTGATCCTTTGTAATTTATAATAATGTTTATTCAATAACTTGTACCTCATCTATCTGTTATCGATAACACTCAATTTAACATGGACCAAATATGACCGCCAGCTGTTCATGACCTGTGTGAAGGGTAATTCCTTTTATTATCCAACTACACCTAGACCAGTACGAATAACGCCATAGACGAGTACAAATATCACGCGGTATTTGTACTCGTCTATTGTAGTACCGGTTAAACTGGTTTTCTCGCATCGCGCAAGCGAAGAATTGGATTGTAGTTACGGAAAAAAAAAGTGGCGGATAATTTCGATTATATTTCCGACGACGAAAAGTCAGAATGGCCGGTAAATTCAGATCCAGGTTCATTTGATGAATCGAACGAAGAAAAACAGCTTGACGACCAGAAAATTTCTTCATTTAATGAAGAAAATAGAAACAGCAACACAACAACGCGCCAATTCCGTTCCGCTTCGCATACTTCTGTCACGCACTCCCGTAAATAAATATCGGCAAGTAATTCATGGCAGTCTCCATATAGAGTCCCTGTTACCCAGTCTCAATATAGACTCCCTATTACCCAGTCTCCATATAGACTCCCTGTTACCCCTGTGTACCCTGCGTACCCTGTGTACCCATGTATACCCTGTATACCCTGTGTACCCATGTACATGTGTACCCTGTGTACCCATGTGTACCCTGTGATCCCTGTGTACCCTGTGTACCCATGTACATGTGTACCCTGTGTACCCATGTGTACCCTGTGATCCCTGTGTACCCTGTGTACCCATGTACATGTGTACCCTGTGTACCCATGTGTACCCTGTGATCCCTGTGTACCCTGTGTACCCATGTACATGTGTACCCTGTGTACCCATGTGTACCCTGTGATCCCTGTGTACCCTGTGTACCCATGTACATGTGTACCCTGTGTACCCATGTGTACCCTGTGATCCCTGTGTACCTTGTGTACCCATAGTACACAGGGTACACAGGGTACACANCCCGTAAATAAATATCCGCGAAATTCGCCCGCAGAAACAACAGTTTGGCGTGTTGGATAATAAATAACTTATTAGACGTTTTGTTGTGTAGTATCGCTGAGTATTTTTACTCGTTATTTGTATTTTGACTCGCCCTACGGGCTCGTCAAAATACGACACAACTCGTAAAAATACTCAGCGATACCACACAACAAAACGTCTAATAAGATATATGTACTCTGAGTTATGTTATTTATTCTTCATGTTGAAAAAAAATAATGGTCTGATTATTTGAACAAAGTTTAGCCACTGTTTGACAAAATGGCATCCTAGACAATCCTCAATTTAGCTGAGCCTTTCATCTGAACATTTATTTTTTGTGTGCAGTGTCAAGAGGGCGGAAACCTAATAGTGAAAGGACATCGGTGGGCCTGAGGCCCACTGATTGCTTAAAACTGTGGTTTGGGCCAAACCTCACGTACATGTCAAACCAGTCCTATGATTTTTGTCAGTTTTCGTACACTAGAGATGATGTTTTTTAAATTTCATTTGTTGATCAGAAAAAAAATCAATTGAAAAAGAGATTTACTTGAATGTTGCAAAAAGTAAAGTGTAACGTTAAAAATTTCCATTACAAATTGCAGTCACCTCAATGCTGACCACGCCTTAGACGAGAGAAGCACAGCTCAGGCTCGGGTACAGATGCAAGTTGTAATGCATTTGGAATTCCAGGTATGAAAAGATTATAACATGCAACATTTAGATCAACCTTAAATGATTAACTTTGTAAATCAGTCATTGTGATTGTGGTTTAAGGATTAAGCATCTGAGTAGGCCAGAAAAATGCAAATGAACAGCGTCCTCTTTGATAAAAATTGTCTTACTGCTACTCTCTTTCACAAACAATGCTGCTACTATACACCCGAAGGGCTAACGCTCGAAACGTCAGCTTTTGTAATCGTTACGGTGGCCAATTTACCATTGCAACTTTGTTGATATATCCAAATTATTTCGTTACTCCCACTGACGCAGCCCCAAACAGTTTCTTTTGAAACTATCAGCCTTTACTATACACCCGGACGTCTTGCACTATATGATGACTTTTTTCGCATAAGTCAAATTTACAGCAATATATTTACTGAGAGTTTTGTTTTGGTTATTTTACGCCCCCCTTATATGAATAGCTGGTTTACGAATAGGAACTATTATTACTTCAAAAACATTTTTACAACTACCCAGTGGTCTTTTGGCCTGACAATTGCAAACTCAACAGTTTCAAAATAACGTTAATTGCAGATGAACAAAGAACGTGAAAGATTGTCAGCGATGATGAACCATCTGCATACTCCCAAGGTACAACTTTTAGCTTTCTTTTTCTTTGGCTAAAGATAAAAAAGTTCTTAATGATAAATTGTTCTGTAAAGTTATATCACGAAAAATGTATCTTATCTAATCCTAACGCAAGGTGGTTCCATTGACAAAGTAGGTTAAAAGAGATTGTTTTCACTTGGAGAGGTCGACACAGATTCGTCTGTTCTTTCTTTCATTTTTTGATCTTTCTGCTAAGTTTGCGGGACAAGGCGAAACGCGAAGCGAGCCTCAGAGAGCAGCAACTGTTTTAAAAGCCATTTATAACAAGTATTCTTGTCATTCTAAATACCAAAAGTGATATTTTTGGATTCCAAAGAAACTGGATGTATGACTTTCGTGCTGTGTCAGTAAGCAAGTGAAAAACTTAGTTAACTTTGTTAATTATCAAAGCAAGATTGATAAGTTCAAGCGAGCATAAGTCCTTAGACACTCTGCTTCAACAAAAGGCGCTGACGCTCGAAGGTCAGTTTTTCACAACTCGTTGCGGTGGTTGATTTATTGTTGTATTTTTGACGTTGATAATTGAGAGGGACTTTGGTAAATTTTTTGAAACATGGGAGTCTTTAACCAGCGTCTTGTGAAGAATACAGGATGGTGAATTAATATAAATTACTACACTTTCTCATGCCAATTGGAAAGAGGGTAGGGGTCATCTACACCCATGGAACCTCGTCAGCCACACCCTTAACCAACTAAATGCTTATGTCGTTATAGGTCACTCAACACACTCCAAACACAAGCTCAGATCTGGATGAGGAGGGTCACCAACAGGTGCCTCACTCCCAAGCACAGACTCTCCTTCATGTTACTCACCCACCCCCTCCTCAACATCCTCACATGACGTCCCTAGAAGATACTCCGCCGGCGGAGCATTCCCCCACCCTCCAGGGTAGACAGGAGATACCTATGTCACCGGAAAGCCCACCAACGATGGGAAGTCATCCTTTGAGCCCGCCACCCAACATGGCAGCAGTACATGATATGACCAGTCCAAATGACATCACTATCGTACAGACGTCAACCATTCACATGATGGAAGATAAA